TAGTCCTTGGATCCAGAAGCTCCACAGTTTATGGGAAGACTGAACCCAACTGCCTCCTCTTGCTGACTCCAAGGCTGCTGCCTGCTGCTTCCACCCAACGTCCCCACGTCCCGACCACACAGCAGACAGGTTTTCCACTAGCCAGGTCCTGCTTCAGGCCCAAAACAGCAAGCAAAGGGTGAGAAGAGTTGATTCAATGCCTAAAATGGGGCATTTAAGAGCAGGGACCAGAACTAGGGCTCTCGGGTGAACGCTGTCATAACGCTTAGTGGTGCTTTTTCCCCCAGACCCAGTGAATGTTGAAATGCTTTGGTATCTGGGGTAGGGACTAAGGTGATCCCATGCCCCAGTGATGAGAAATGGCTCTTTGGTTCAATCTCCAGTGCCAAATCAGGCAGGGGGTGTACTTAAAACAGATTACTTGGAGCTCAAGAAGGGGACAGTGACACCTCCTTCCGCTGGGGAATATCTCACTGGGGAGTGTTACCGCGATGAGCACATGGAAGTGCCCTGAGACATGGCTGGGAGGCCCTGGCCTAACCCAGGATGCAGGAGCATCACCCGAAAGGCTGGGAATCGCCCAGCTCCACCTTTGCTTCCCTCAGTCTCCATTTCCCATCTCGAGAAGGGGGGTGTACTGTCCTTCCCCAGCCTCGCATGCTGTCTGTGCTCATGGTGATGTGCTACCACCGAATACTGAGGTCAGCATAATCTCCGCGCTAAGCCACACTAAGATGTCGGATGGAAGCAGTCTTTAAAACGTGCAGTATGCTTGTTTACTGGAAAAAAAAAGTGGCTCACATCAGTGGAAAAATACACATTTGCATTTCAGTGACAGCCTCAGCCATTTACACCCTGCAACACAAAAGGCATCAGTGTGAAGGACTCTTTCCTTCAGCTCCCTCACATTCCCCAGGCTCAGCTCCCCAGCTTTGGCAGCCTTCAAATAACGGACAAGCCAAGGTCAGGGGGGGAAAAAAAAAAAAAAGAAAAAAAACACCAAGGAAAAAACCCCAAAACCTAAGACCGTAGGCCCCGGTAAAACCTCCCTTACCGCTGCCCGCTATCCAAGTGAGAGCTCCTGCGTGGGAACTGCTCGCCGTTTGCTCTGAGGGCTCTTGCACTGCCCAGACCCCCCTGCAGCCTCCTCCTCCCTTGCTGGAGAAGCTGGCACCTCTCCAGCCCCCAGCTGCTGGGATGGAGGCTCGTGGAGGCGGCAGAGATCAGATTTTGTCAGGCGAGGGGAGAGCTCACCCCAACACCAGCACCACCATCCTCTGTCCTCCTCCACCAGTAACTTCCCACAAGCTTCATGGAGATGCTGAGCAGCCTGAGGAACAGCAAACCCGCTTCAGAAGGTGTCGGGAAGAAGCGCAGCGACACCCACGACCCCGTCCTGCCGCTCTCATGTGCGTAAGCTCTCCCACTGCAAGCCCCTGGGGCGCTGGAGAGGAGAGTTTGCAGGATCTGGCCCCAAAAAGCACAATGCCGGATCACCTCCTTGTGCCAGCTCGCACAGACCCACGGAAGCCAGCGCCGATTTGTACTGATGTTGGATCCAGCCTTGGGATTTAAAAGCAGCCTCCGTGTTTATCCAAGTGCCAGGAAAGGCTGTCGGAGCTGCTTCCTGCACCCTTTCAATCCCCGGCTCCGGGGCCGCTGTGGGAACCACCCGGCGACAGCCACAGCATGTCGGCTCTGGCAAACAAACTCAAACCCACAAACTAAAGGCAAAACCACCATTAAACACGAGGAAGCCCTCATCTGCCCGATTGCATTCACGAGCAAGAATGTGGGCATGCTGCTGTCAGAGGTAACTTTCATTTTCGGATCAAGACAACGCTCTGTTTATCACACTCGAAGTGGACCCAGCTCTCCTCCAAGGCCTGTGTGGACTCCGGCCATTAAAAATTCAGGAGCAGGACACTCATCTCAGGTCTCAGCTACTGTAAAACCAGCAGGGCCACAGACTTCCAGACTTAAGACACACAGACATATAAAGACACAACCTGATGCATTTCTTAAAAAGCACGTATGGATTTGATTTCCAATACCGCAGGAGAAGAGCGGGGGTGATGGATGCTGTTATCCCACAGCATCCGTAGGGAAATCAGTTAGCTACCATTGCCGTAGTGTAATTTAACAGCCTAGAGGTTTTTGGGCTGTTTCTCTTCTGCTACAGAAGGTGCCGGAGGTGCACATATGAAAAGCTGGTTTAGGACAAAAAGAACAGGCTGATGATGTAAACTACTGACAGTAACAACCCCCCAGCCCACGCTGGAGGTTCGAGGTTTCCTTTTCTGCTGTTCCTTCGAGGGCTGGACAAACTGGGCAGAGCAGCAGTTTGGCATCTGAGTAGTAAAATGCCCTGCACAGGGCACGTCACTGTGCTGTTATTTAAAATTCCCCCAAAAGAGTGAAGCAGAGCGAATGCAGCATTTTTACCTGCACCTGAATTAGGCACCTTCTGAATTTCCCATGAAATAATGACATTGTTCTAGAGGAAAGCTGGAAAGGTGTTTAAAAAAAAAAAAGTCATGTTTCAGGTGTAAAACGTTTTTTCAATTTGTATTTCTTAGCAGAAGAAAAGCTCATGCCTCAAGAAAAAGGTTTTTAAGGTGTTACAGGCCTTATGTGTTTTATGTTTTAAACATAAAACATGTTTTACTGAAAGAAATTCAATTATAAACAGGAGTAGTTCATAGGGGGGGGGGGGTCCCCACCTCTTCCATGTCCTTTTCTTAATGTCTGTTATTGCTTTAAAAGTTAATGCTCTGCTTAATACGTGTGGCTTATAAGACGGGTCGGAATTTTAACATTTAGTTTGCATTTTAAAAAACAGCATAGTATTTGATGACAGTTTCTGGTCCTGATTTGATAACCTCAGAACACCCCTCACCTAAACACCCTTCCTGTTCAGGAAAGCCACACGAAAGCGCCCAGGCCCAGAGCACTGGCTGCAGCTGACCTCCAGCCCTTTGCACTTGGGATGGGCAGTCACAGCTCCGCTCCCAAACCTACTGCCAAATCCTTCTGTAGCCCTGGGTAAGGGAAAGAAAGCATTTCTAGCCAAAAAACACTTTATAACTCAGTAATAGCCTTGTAGCTATCAAAAAAAAAAAAAGCTACATAAAAAAGTTAGGTAAAAAGTTACATAAAAAAAAATGTTCTGCAAGATGACAAACAGAGCTTACTGGAATATTTAAAAATCAGAAGAAACTCGCAGAGAAACTACATCATAAAATAGCACACACATTTCTTCACCAACTTAAAACAACTGTTTTATTTTTGCTTTTCTGCTCCTTATTTCAAAGGGGAATAAAGTTCCCAACAGCCCCGGAAGGCCTGAGGCTCCCCTCTGTTCGGCTTACGTGCTAAATGCAAAAGTTCCCCCCGGATTTGCAGGCACGGTTAGGACAGCTTTCACCCCAACGCCTCCCCAGGTAGATCCTGCTCCATAAACAATGTCAGCTGGAACCCCACACAGCAAAGACACTGAACTCAGTATCAAACTTCCCTTTATGACTTCATGTGAAAATAAAGTTGGCTTTTTTTTTTTTTAATTCCGTTTTTGGCTAAAACTTTTACAGTTCCAGAAATGCAGTACTTGGGCCCCTTGTTTACTGCTGACCCCAAACAACCCCCGCATCTCCCCCATATCCACGTTCCTTGGTGTCAAGAGAAGGCCCCTCCCGAAGCAGCTACTCCGGTTACCGAGCACTCATCAGCTGAAGGAGGAACCGGCAGGGCAACCTCTTAGAAAAGCCGCAGCGAAGCTGCCAAACTCAGTCCTAAACCAGCCGCTCGGCCAGGCTTAAAAACCCCTTCCAGCAGCTGTTACCAGCAGCCAAGCACTTAAACCCGGCCGCATCCTCTCCTGCGATCAGGCGGAGACCGTTGGAAGCACTTTCACTTCACGGGATGTACGTACGATGGAGCTGGGCTATCGGATGTTTTCTCGGAGCGATGGATGTGGAAGGGAAGCTTCTCCGCACGGACGAACGGAGCCGTTAGCTGTGAAGGGGAGCTAGGAGCAGAGCAACACGTTACCAGAAGCGCGTACGTTCCCTCCTTGCTCCCCTTTCGGGCGCGGTTGCGGGGGGTAAGTATCTGATGGTGGCACGGCCGTGGTTTTACCGGTGCGTGTTTATCCCCACGCGTGTCCTGCGGGGCAGAGCAGAGGAGCGCGGGCAGCAGAGGCAGGGCAGGCGGCGCCTCCCTAGGCGGCCAGGTCGAAGTCGTCGCGCTCCTGGTTGTAGTCGAGCACCTTCTGCCGGAGGCGAGAGGCGT